GTGGTGGTGGTGGTGGTGGTGGTGGTGGTGGTGGTGGTGGTGGTGGTTTCTTGGGCCTTGATTTGATTCCACTTGGAAGACTTGATGAGAATGATGATATTGCACCAGCGGTCTGAGCGTGGACCGTGGGAACACCAGGTGAAATCAGCAAAAGCAAAACTTCTCAGACTCGGACATGAACAATATAAGCTGCTTCTTCATACAGTAAGACACCCGTAAGCTATCTCCACAAATACTCAGAGAGCATCGAGCTCATCAATGATAGAAGGGCCAGGGTCATCACAGTGGCACACAGCATCACCGCCTTTTCGCACACGCCTTTTTCGTCCACGGAGCTTTTACTCACCACCCAGAAGTCCCTAGAAGTCCAAAGACTATATACCTTTCCTCATAGTGAAGTAAGGAAGTTCCCACTTTCAAGTCCCACAAAGACCATTCGTTTAAATGTATGGTCTTGGACTCCCAGGGTATGTGCTAAAGCTTCTAACCTTTAGCAGCTCTCAAGAGCTGCAGGACCATCTCGGATTCAGATGCCCTCAGTCAGGCTCCGACTCCCAGGTCTCCTGCTGGCTCTGACCGCGGACTGGACTGTCCGGACTGGTGACCGGACTGGATTGGGACGGTCTGTTTGACCCGGTGGACCATCTGATGAGGCGCCTAGGAGTTAGACCCCGAAAGACGAGCACCGCCCCCAAACGGAGGTGGGCCGGGAGCCCTGGTGGTATTGAAGGTGACCGGCAACCAAGCACTGTGAAACATGGAAGGTGACCATATGTCCAAATAATAGCATCGTACATCCTCATCAAGTCGAAGTGGAACCGACTACCTGGAGTCTCAGTTCGTACCTCGGAAAATGGGTAGTCTTGTACCTGTTTTTTTAGGGATCATGATGGGTCATGTCCCATGTTCTAAGGTACTTGATTGAAGTCGGGTCCAGGTCTTGAAGGTGAGCACTAGATCTGTGACTGACCGGTCTTACCCAGGTCTCCAAGAGTCCAACTGAGGGGTCATGGACGTCGGTTCTGAAGAGGCGACCAGTGGGTGACCAGTCAAAACTTGGACCAGACATGTATGGAATGCCGAATTAGGGGCCCTCATACCCTACACCTCCAGTCGTACCTTTGTGTCGCAGGTGTTTGGGAAGGGTTCTACGAGGGTCCAGTCGTACCTTCTTACAAGGTACGACTGGAGCCCTAGGGATAGGGGAACAGTCTCGAATCCTCTGCAGTCTGGGGTTTCTCACCAATCCGAGATTTGGAGGGACCAGTCGGGCTGGTTTCACGGAGCGTCTGGTGATATAGATTGGTTTCAGAATGGATGACACTAGCACCCCAAGATGTCTTAGACAATTGGAGGTCCTCAAAATCCACTGAGATGGCGCACCCTTGTGCCATCTACTCTGAAACCACTGTACATTCACATACCTTCAGGTACACCCACACGCTGAGCGAAGTCATCAGGCCAAAGGTTTTTAAGAATGTGGAGTGAATTCAAAAAGATCAATGGCAAACCACGGCAACAACAAACTCCAGTCAAAACCAACATCTTCGCCCAAACCGAATCACAATGAATCAAAGCACTGAAGGTTCCTTAAAACCTTCATCTGGATCCACCTGCACCTTGTCAACCGAATTACCTCTGTAGAAGAACCACTTGTTTAAATACTTTCAGGTGGGACAGCCGCTCCTCCATGCCGCTCCTCCCCTCCCGCGCAGCTCGCTCCTCACCGGCTGTCCCGCCGGTCGTCCCGCCGCCGTGAGCTTCTCGGCTCGCGGGAGCGCCGGCGCCGCGGCTCGCGGGAACGCCTCGCAGGAGCTGTGACCGAAACCCGTTCCCCAGGGCTCCAGTCGTACCTTCGTTTTCGAAGGTGGGACTGGGGTGGGTGCCAGGAGGGTCCAGTCATACCGAACCTGAGGTACGACTGGAGCCCCAGGGGTTTTGAAGCTCCAGGGGTTGGGTTCCCGTTTCGGTGTTTGGTTGCCAGGAAAGTCGCACCTGAATCCGATGGGCCGTTGCCCGCAAAAAAGAGCAGGAAGGCCTAAAATTGGGGTCTATCAATCCTATTACCAGTAACAGGTTACTAAAGGCCTTGTTTACTATGTTTACTGAGTGTTACAGGTAATAGGACAAACCCAAGCTATAAATATGAAGGCCTATTGGTGTTCATGGTTTGAGTGGGGAGTTGAAGTTTGTTTGGTCACGTTAGACGTTCAAGGTTTCATGTTGTTCTTGAGCACTGCGCACCAACAGCAAAACAACATGCACGTCCTGGTTCGGGGGGTCTAACCACCTTCTCAGGATATGGTTGGAGCCCTATAGGGATCATTGTGAATAAGAAAAACAACACGTCTAAAACAAATCAAAGTTTCGTGACACCAAGCGATTCTTGTTCAAATGTCCACGCTTTCATGAAGGAATCACCTTGCCAAAGCTTAACATACACAACCTGTCCAAGCATAAACATATGTCACTGACTTCATCCTAATCTGCTTGGATCTCTCCCCACTTGGAGTTCTTCCCAACAAGCCATGAACCAGATCCAAGAAGCCATCAATCATGCCCGGCCGAAGTCCAAAGACGATACTTTTGATGTCAAGTCCCGTCTTCAGGTATAAAGACCATGTTCCAAACCAAGTTCATGGCGAAACGGTGCCCTTTTTAATAGCACCAAGCATCCCCTAAGGTCACTATACGTCATCATATGTCACTTTACTCTTCTGTTTATAGTCTTTGACTCCCAGGCTATGCCCTTTCCACATCACTCCGGCCCTCGCGACTCACCCGCACCTGCTTGCCGAGGACTCCGAGCGTCGGCGCCGCCGCTCGGGGCTGGGCTTCGGGCTCGGAGGGCCTGCAGTCCGCTGGTGTGCGTGGCGTGGGTGTGGTGTGGTGTGGTGGCTTTTTTCCCTCAGAAACTACCAGAAGCATCACATGAAAGGCTTCCATGGATGGCTCCGTTTGGGCTGGCTGCCCCCTCCGTTTCGAAGCGAGTTGGGGGTGGGTGGTCGAGGGGGGCTTCGAAGCACCGAATGAGGAGGAGATGGGCCGATCGGAGCCCTGGTGTTCTTCTTCGGCGTCTTTAAGGGGACGCATGCGAACCAATGGTCAAAGCTTAAGAAGGCTTGTGGAGGTTCAAAAAGCTTCCACATTCTGGTTCTTTTCATGGGGGACAAGGAATGCGAATGGAATGCGCCTTGCCAAGCCGTTTGTGTTCGAAGCGACGCTGACCAATCCCTCCCGCACGCGCGGGCGATGGGTGGTCCATCGGTGGTCCAGAGCACATGCTAAAATCTGTGGGAGCCCGGACGGTAGTTGGCCCTCGCAGCCTGCATGTCCTGGAGGTTGGGCAACACAAAAACGAAGTGTCACGACCGGAAGCGGTGGAAACCCGACACCGAGTTTCGGGGGGAAAACCCAATGAGTTCGTGGTCATCTGGTCATCCGAATGAGTTCGGGCATCCACATTGGTCGATTCCATGAACCCTCAACAATGCCAGACACCACACTCACATCTGACGCCTTCTGCATTTGGATCCCTTTAATTCACCAAATCCACGAGTCTCTTTGTGAGAAACAGCTTTTGGACCATCAACTCCTCTGGCACACCTGGCAGGCGCATGTCTTAACCTCTGGCAAACAACCATCTTGTTGGGCAACTACTTGCCGGCACATCTTCTGAAGAGCATCCTGGATCCTTGAAACCTTCTGGGAGATTCCAGCAAGAGACCCCGAAAAAGCCTATGATGCGGTCGACGTCCAAATCGAATAGGTTGATCGAAATAAACGATGAGTATGCAGTCCAGTCCAAAGACTATATGACTATA